GCCTTTATTGAGGGATCCAACTAGGCTAAAAAATGCCCTTAAAGCATGCGAAAGTAATGGAAAATGAATTTAATAATCCAGAGAGATGCAGGGGACCCCACGGCTTACGGTCCTCCTAAGATTCACAAGGAGGGTGTCCATCTAGCATCAATTATAAATAATAAAGAGAGTGTGATGCATAGAATCTCACGGTTTTAATGCATACAACTAAGGAACTCTATCAATTATTGGGTATATTCAGTTAAAAATTCGTATGTTTTTTCTGAAATTGATTGAGCAACAGACATTTTGAGAAAAGCAAAACCTATTAAGTTTTGATGTTGTGTCTATGTACACAAAGATTCCTGTCCAAGGAGTTATTTAAGCTCCACTACAAACTCTGGAGGAACATCCAGAGATAACACAAGGAATAAGGCTGAGTGTAGCTTCAAATATTAGACTTATTAATCTATGCATGAGTACCACATATTTTACTTTTGATGGTAAGTTATACGTAAAAGCAATATTAGGTTCACGATGGAAATGGAAGAGAATAAGTCTTTACCTTTTCTCGACGTTCTCATCATTAGAGAAAAGGGTAAGTTAGAAATAGATGTTTATAGAGAACCAACAAATACGTTGAATGAGAGGAACGGTGGTAGAAAGTTGAGTTGGAATTACTTATGCTTGATTGATAGATTGAAAGAGAGAGAGAGAGTGTTGAGTTGCCGTCAAAAAGAAGACGACTCAATTTGTCTGCTCGGTGATGGTCCTAACTTCACTCACACTCGTCCAACATGTTAGAGCAAACTCATCAACCAAACCAGACGTGCCAAATTACGCAGCCCCATTAATGCGTTTCCTTGAAAGGTTAAACGTTAATGACCCTAGACCGAGAGGTTAAGACAGGTGGTTTCGTAACTTGAATTGCATGCTTACAAGCTCATATCTCATTAACTCAACCATACATGCCTACGGACTTACGCGGTCTCGGTCAAGGCTTTCTTTGAAGTCATTAGGCGCTGATCAATTTATAACTCTGATTTAGGGCTGGTATTGCGTATAGACATTAACAGACACACGCATACACTCGAGCAAAAGTAGCAGGACAAGTATGAAGGATAATTAGCCAAACCACTCTAGGTTTTTAATTTTTAATTTTCTTTCGGTAGCTCTGATGACGTCCATCATATGATGGACGAAAGCTCAGCCCATTTTCACCCTATACGAGGGAGAAAGTCTTGTGGACTGCGTCAACATGACTATCGTCTAAAATCTAACGAGATTCATCCGTCCTCATCTGGTGAGATCGACCAACGAATCGCTTCTTCACGCACTCTTATACGAAATATAGGTCCCTCTAACAATATGAACTTAATTAACCCAAGTCGAATGAGATGCTTTAAGGAGTAATAGTTGACTTTTCCCCCAATGAAGTGAGTAGGCCTCATCATACCATTGCGAGTTTACATGAATCTTGGCTGGTGATTGAGAGATTGGACCACGTCCAATCCTCGTAGTCCCTCGACTGACGAGGGCTTCGCACCTGGACTGTGGTACACCGAGGTCTGATTATTCCATAAATTGGATCGGCTAAAGCATGCGCTTTGTGGCTCCATGGCAATTCTGCAATTAAATACGATAGCAACGATAGTGGAGGTGTTGGTGTCGGAGTTGTTGAAGTTGTTGGAGGTTGGGATGATGGTAGTGATAGTGATGTTAGTGGAGATGACGGTGATGGCGGTCGAGTTGGTGATAGTAGATGAGTTAGTGAT